GAAATGCTGGGTTCAACAAGATTAAAGAAAACTTTCTTTAGTAATAGACCTCTCCAGACACCTTAACATGCTATAATGAAATGTACATCTTCAGCATTTGCCCAACTGATTTGACCATAGCACATCGAGGCAGAGCAATGAATGAACTTTATAACACAACCTTAGGAAATACAAAGATGGGTATGTTCATAGGTGCACACATCACCTTCTCTCAAAAACCTTCTCAGTGTCACCCACCACACAGATATTTTTCTGTTGTTCACTGTCCAAAGTAATCTCTTCCTCCTCTAACCTACATTCAAAGTGTTCATTCATCATAGTAATTACTCATGTAAAGTCTATATCCTCCGACTACCTCGTATCCCTCATGCCTAGGATAGCGACTAGTGCATAGTAAATGTTCAATATACATTTTCTGAATTTGTTATTCATGAATTCAGTGTGGACCCAAGGGAGGAAAAAGCAATATGTATCATTCTACCGAACACCTTGGCCTTGTTTTTATGTCGACAGAGATCCACTTCAAGAAAAAGAAAATCATGACCACACTATAGAAAGAGAATATCTCTACTTTTAAGAAAGTACACATTATCCTTTAAGTTTTCTACAACTCTAATGGAACTTTCACAGCTGGGCTTCCTTTGGCAACAGCAAATGAGGGTATAAGAGGAATAATTTTAATACCTGATCCCAGGAGATTGGTCCATCATCTGACTCTTTGTCCGCGGATACAGATAGATCAGGGTAGACCCAGTCATGGATAGTTATGTTGCTTTGTTTCCTTTGAAGTTGATGGATTTTATCCTTTTGGATACAGGTACTTCTGGTCCAGAGAGTGTTGAGAAGTTTGTCTAGTTCTAGAAATTTCATATAAAATCTGGTGTCACATAGAATAGACAGGTCAAGTTCAGAATAATCACAATTTCACATGGCCAGAGCTCAGATATTCCCTTACAAAGATAGTGCCCACCATATTCGTATCCTTCAGACAGTAGAATGTTCCACAAGTGGAAATGCCTTCCATTGAGCCAAGTATATATTTTTTCTATCAAAATGTAAATTAAAGATGAAACTGGCTTAATCCTTAGGAAATTTATTCCCTTGACACACTATACACCCTTAGTAGATTATTATTTTAGTGTAGTTAAGTCAATCAAATGGTTTTCTTCCTAAGTGTATATGCAGAAAAGAAAAAAGAAATGAAAAGGAGCTGAGATTAAAGAGACAAACTAGACCTTGTTTTCTAATGCTACTGTGATATGGCTACCAGTTTACAGATTATAGTTTAGTTTTCCTCAGTACAGCTCTAGGCTTTTTGAAAATGATTGATACAAAGAAGCATTAAATATAATAGTAAATTTCTATGGACTTGGGAATATCATGTCTTTGTAATTTTCCTAAATGCTATCATCAGTGGTAGGAAAAATTACAAACTAGAGTTTTATTTTAAATGACCAGTTTTTATTTTTTAAAAAAGTATGCCCCTTGCAAAGAAATGGGAAAAAGGGACCCATATTCAGGAACAAGAGCAGCCGATAAATATATCTCTAAATATTTTAAGATGTTGGATTTAGCAGACAAAGACTCCAATGCAACTATTACGATATGTTTAAGGAACCAACGGAAATTACATTTAAGGAATTAAAAGCAAGTATGACAACAATAAATCAACTAATAGCAATAAGGAAATCAAAATTATATAAAAGTCCAAATGGGGAGTTCTGGAGTTGAAGAATACCGACACAAATATTCAAAACTGAAACAAAACAAATTCACTAGAAGCACTCAACAGCATATTTGAGAAGGCAGGAGGAAAAAAAATCAATTGAACATGAAAACAGATTAATAGATATAATCCATTCTGAAGAACAGAAAGAAAAGTAAGAAAAGAACAAGTCTCAGAAACCTGTGGAACAATAGCAAGTATATCAACATATATGTATTG